TCTCAGAAGGTAACCATTTGGCAGTATTGGGGGCGGGTTGGTCGAATGGGCTAACGCGTGTGCACAGAACCGCTAGTTGCCCGGCAACCAGATAACCGAAGTTATGAGAGATTAGTACGAGTTCGCGTTCCGGTGCTGGAGGAGGAAAACCCCGTATAGCCTAAATGGCGAGGGAAGAACAAAAAAAAAAAAAAAAAGCATGTTGCAAGTCTTATACTAATTCGACAAAACATAAACTTCTCTTGTCGAACTTTTGGACCTAGTGATCTATTTACCGATTTATTTTATTTTTAATTTTTTTGGCTATTTTTTTTTTTTTAAATAGCGCTCTACTCCTTGAGTTATTTGTTTATATATTTTTTCAATTTTATGCAACGCTTTTACAATCAATACTTACAGAACATCCTCGTTTATTGAAATGTCAGATGTCATCTAAACAAATCTGAAGAAATATACTACGGACCAACCTATCGTACTGATATATTTGCAAGATCCTCAAAGTATTATTAGTATTAAGTATTATAATGCTTTTAAATTATGATGCCTATTTTAGAACCATCATGATTTTATTTTTAAGAATCTCCCTATACACGAGTGCCCATCACCTTCCCCCTCCCCCCTCTTAAGGTCGATGGCGCATTATCATTATCTGATATAAATATTTTTCAATTTTTTATTTCCCATTTCTCGCACCACCTTCAAACTTTTCATAACTATGTTTTCAGTTGTGATTATTTAAGGGATTAAATATTCCGTCAAAATAGAAAAATTCACTACAAAAAAAAAAATCCTACAGCAGCACGCTGCACCATCCTCGCGTGCATTTGTTCTTGATAAATTGATGAGAAATCCAATCGCTCCAGAACTCTGTAAAGTTTTCTCGTCAGAGCGTGATCCAATTTATTTCCCTCCTTTCACTACATTAGATTTTCCATTTCCCTTTACATACAAAAGATTCTGAATGACTGTCCTTAAGCAACGGAACATTTCGTTTATTAATTATTCTGACGAGATGTATTCGTTCAGAAACCGTCCAACCGAAAAGCTCTTTTCACTCTCTCAAATGACCATTTAATCTTGATGACATTTATTAAATTCTTATTTAAAGCAGTTTCCATTGTGATTTATCATTGAAAGTAAATGGAAAAAAATAACCTCTCTCAAGGCTCGTTTATGTTTTCAGAATATTTAATATGTAAATAATTTTTGAAGAGAAAAATGGTTGGGGTGATGAGTCAACATTTTTTTTTTTTTTTATTTATTTAATATTATATTTGCGTATTATAATTGCGGTTGAACTCATCTAGCAAATGTGCTGTCGTTCGGTTTGTCTGCTATTTATTGAACATGTATTCACATTGTGAACAAATCCCGGGGCCACTGCATTTTAGTCTTCTTTGAGGCTCCCTGATAACAGGGAGGAAGAAAGAGAGAGAGGACAAGAGGATTAGTGTGATTAATGGTTGAATTCTAGAATGTGGTGTATTTGTTAGGTATGTAGATTTTTACTGTTCGAATGTCCATGTCGCTGTGTATGGTGTGATTTGAAATATACCAGGATGCATTTACGATTTTTTTAAGTATTTTGGATTGTGCAGTTTGTTTATGTAGACATATTTTGCGGAACTCCAAAGTTCTGCTCCGTGTGTCCAAATATGTCGTAGTATGGTGGTATAGATTATTCGCTTATTTTGTATGTTCCAGGTGTGTTTTTTGTCCAATTATAATCTGAGATATCGTACATGAGTTTTTGAGAGAACTGACTCTTGTCTATTGGCACAGCAGGACACGAAATCTTTCTCAGGGAGAAGTTAAAATGGCTTGACTTACCGCCATTAACTTTGATTTCCTATTTGTTGAACCATTTTTCAATGTCATAGATGTGATTTTGAAGGGCAACTGAAGCAATAGTAGGGTTTTTGTGGGATGAAATAATTGCAGTGTCGTCAGCGAAACTATAGAGGGTGGTGCTAGGGTGCTCGGGATATCAGATACGTAGAGAGAAAAGAGAAGAGGAATTAAAACACTACGTTGTGGTACGCCCGCAAGTTGAGGGAAGAAGGAAGAAAGATTGTAGTATAAGCTAGTAAGTAGAATGAATGTGCGGATTAATTTTCCGCAATAGACCTTTGTGCCAGACACTACCAAACGCTTTCTCAATGTCTAGGAATATCGCTGAGTAATATTCTTTTTTCTCGAAGGTGACTGAGATAGCGTCCAGCAAAAAAAAAAAAAATAATAATAAAATAAAAATCAAACTAAATAAGTTTATTTATGTTTATTTTTGCCGACGTTTTGGTCCAAAGTTCAGGGCTAAGAAAAGACCAGATAGTAAAAGGTATGAGAAACTATTAACATCAAAAATTCAAAAAGAAAAACTAATATGTAGGTGGAATAAACTTAAAGTAAAATAAAGTAAGTAGAATAAACTTAAAGAAAATATAAAATAATGATAACAAAGGTAGGGATAGAAAGTAGCTGAAACAAAGTTACGATATATAACATAACGGTAAGAAAGTTAGGAAATTATAAATAAAATGATAACAGTAACAGAGAACCTATGAAATAAATAATAACGGCAACAAAGTATTGACTAATGAAATAAACATAATCAAAATAAGGTAACACAAGAAAAGAAAAATTAATTAACAATGGAATGTATGAGATAAAAAAAGTGTAGACAAAAAATAAATGGGGTGACATAGCTGCTAAAACATGTAGTCATAGTATGCTAAAAGAAAGTGAGTTAATCATAGAACAAAATGAAACTAATGTACCAATAAATATTTCTGAAATAAAGTATAAATTGGAGCAATGATTTAAAGTATATTTTTTAAAACAGAAATAATTAAAACATAATGTAAAAATAAAAAAGTGATAATTAAAAATATATATTTATTAATGTTGAAAGATATAAATGAAATACTTTTTTAAAACTAAAATATTAAAGTAATACAAACTTTCAATTAGTGTAGTAACATCTAAAAACAGCAATAGGTGATTGTATATAAAAATGATTACTAATAGACAATATTTTAAAAAAGATGAATAAAACGCAACTTATTATGGGAGAAATTGAAGTAGAGTGTGGAGTCATTAGCGGATCCAGGATTTAATTTTTTTTTTGGAGGGGAGGCTTCAACCCGAAAGCTTTTTTTTCATATATATAATACTAATTATTTTAGAGAAAAAAAGATAGATACTAATTACCTATATGAAATGTTGAATTCCTGTTGAACGTAGGAAGAATAATACTTAAAAAGATGATATTTTAATATTTTTTTTCATAAAATATGGTTACATTTTACCATTTGGAGAGGGGGGGAGGTTCAGCTCGAAAGCTCCATCCGTAGATCCGCGTGTGTGTGGTGTTAAAAGGGAATTAGAAGTTTTAAAACAATACGAAGATTCAAAGGATTCAAAAAGGGGAGATAAAAGCCAGGAAATGGAAAAAATGTAATATTTCAGGAAGCCAATTACTGAAGATCGCGTTAATTTGTTGTTTACAAAATGAACTCATGGTTGAAATCTGGAGTTTAATCTTCAATTTTGCATTTTCATTCATTATTTCTAATTATTATTATTTTTTAATTTGAGATAATCATAATATGCAATTATCATCAAATATGCAATATCAAATTTGACTAATTGCATCTGATTCGTAAAGATATTTTATCACCATTTAAAAAAATTGCATACCAACAAAATATGCAATTGTATAAATATCCGGGTTCTGTTCGTAAAAATAATATTCTACCTTTATCTCGCATAATGAACCTGATTATTATTATAAATTCCTTCTCTTATTCGAGTTTTACTCTCATTATTTATATTGTAGTTTTTTAAGTAATATGAATATGAATATTAATTTCACGTAAGGATCAATATGTGACATAATTTATTCCGGCTTAAACTCCTATTCCCTGGAGCTTTAGACTTTATCCCCGCCCGATTTAAAACGAAAAAAAAAAATTCCCTCTCCATTTGTGATTTAATTGGGGCTGAATTATATCTGAATTGATCATTTTATCTATTTTAGCCATTACTTTTTATTATTGCCTTTGATACATCAAACCAAGAATTGTTATAGATAGTTTTATGAAGAGTATATAATTAGATATAAATTAATTCTTCTATCGGACAATTTAAGTAATTTTCTATCATTAGTAACTGATTTTATTTCTTCTTTCATTCTCGTTAAAAAAACAAATTTGTTTATGGAGGAGTGTCTTAATGTTTTGTTTTGTTATTTTGTCATGTTATGTTATATATAATCCGAGAGCCCATGAGAAAAAAATCCACATTATTTGATGAAAATTTTAAACGCATTTTTTTTTAATGTTTATAACATTTCTATTAAACATATGAGAGTCTGCCAGTCGGAAGGCTTCAGCCCGAAAGTTTTATTTTTTCATATATATATATATATATATATATATATATATATATATATATATATATATATATATATATATATATACAACGATAGGTACTTTGGAAAAAGAAATAAAGATAATAACTAGGTACATGAAATGGTGTTTAAGTGATTCTTGAAGTCCTATTAAATGTAATTACACGGACAATAATACTTTAAGGGAAAATCTTTTTTTTTTGTAAAACATGGTTATATTTGCCCATTTTGGGGAGGGGGAAGGAAGGTTTCAGACCGATCGCCTCCCTCCCTAGATCCGCCTGTGGCTACCTGTAAATATGACGGCTGATTTAATGAATATCAGACGAATAATTTAATATATAAATTTAAATATAGTAAATATAAATATAAAGATTTTTTCGATCGAATTTGCCTCTATTTATGGATTCGTCTTTATAAATAAAATTGACTAATCATTGTACTTTCCTTTGTTTGATTTGGGAAGATTCATCCACGTCGTTATTTATTTTTCGAAAGAAAATTTAATTATTTGGTTCATATTTTTCTTTCATTTTTTAAATATTGTATATGTATATGCTATTAATTATACTCTTCGAATTTGTTTCAGGTAAAATTAGTGAACATAAGTAGTAACGATATTGTAGATGGGAACCCGAAATTAATTCTAGGATTGGTTTGGAGTATAATTCTTCATTGGCAGGTAATTTTATTGTTTAATATCATTCTATAATTATTGTTGTAATATACGTTACAAAAATAAATTGCTATATATATTTTTTTTTCAGGTGCATTGGTCACTCAAGGAACTCATGACTGATGCAGAGCAGACTAATTTGGAAAAAACTTTGTTGATGTGGTGTAAACAAAATACCCAAGTAATTTTTTTTTTTTTTTAATCGAAATTTTAACACAAAAATATTTAATCTTACTGTATTTTTCCTACTTCTTCGTTACTATTCCATATGTTATAAACGTCAAGTACAATTTTGTTTCCTATCAGATAAATAATTATTTGTTTTTTTAAATCATTAATTATTCTCAAAAAAACTGTTATTTTAGCGTACTTTTCGTTTTCCCCTTAATGTTCGGTAAATATTTACTTTTAAAGAAAATATCCTCGTGTTCAGGCTGGAAACTTTTAGGTAAATGATAAATTCTTTCCTAATGTTAGTTTAGTAGTGACTTGAATTGGAAACCGAAGACGTTATTTAACGACGGAACTTAGTTAACTTTTGAAACTATCATTTAACTTCAGGAAAGTTGAGAGTTTATTGCTTTAATTTACAAAATGGTTATATTGGCGTTGGACAGATATAACGTTTATGTTTTTTTTACTCAAATGTGCCTATACGTACTTTTTTTTTATAAGAAACATTGAATTAAGTCCTAAAGATTATACATATTATTCATAATTGTTTAATAATAATATTATGAAGAGTGTTTTTTTCTCTGCAGTGTGTTAAAATATTCCTTCTTGGCCGTTTTTGTTTCTGCTCTGAAACTTCCTTTGTTCTGTCATTCTTGCTGATCACGACCTGCTCATTTCATGGTACTTTCAGGAAGTGCTTCTTAATTTCTTTGTATTGATCCTAACTCTGGAAAAACCGGAGATCGTTTCAAAACAGAATGTTCTGTGAAGAGGATATCGCCGTTTATATTCCATGAGTATCTGTTACATTAGAAATGACCATTACTTGAAATATAATTATATTTAAGTTGGAATTTTTTATTTAGATATCACTTTTATTTATTTAAACCGATTATGGAGTATTTATAATAATACCTAACAATATTAAAATAATTATAATATTTTATTATGAATGAAAAAAAACTCCAACTATAATGGCCATGCTAGTATATAGGGAACCATTTAATGGTTGGTTAACTGTTCACTTTATAGTTAGGATTTTTCCATTTATAATGTAATCAATGTATATCTCTTTTCAAGCTTTATGCTAATTTAGTAATATAATATATTATTTATATTAAATATATAAGACCTATAGTTTGAAAAGTAATTAGATGTGTTTCTTAAACCCTCAAACCCACTTATTGATTGATTAATTGTCTCTTCATCTATCCTGTTTGTCCCTTATTATTATCTTAACATTGTTTAATTGTATAATTAATCAAAATAATCTAATTAAATTGTTAAGACTATTTAAACGAATTCAAGGTATTGTTGTGCTTTCAGTTGTTAAGGCTCTCAAATCAGTTAAATGCTGCAATTAATAAATATATGAGTGACCTCAAATCGAAGAAAGACATCTGTCATTTCTAGAATTTTTAAGGAAAAACCAATTTTCATTGTTGGCTTCAATTTAAATTAATTCCGTTAATTTTTGTTGTCTTAATTCAACTCAAACATTGCTTATTAATTCTCTGAAGGAGGTGATATCAATAGGATTTTAAAAGTCGTCAAATTTATCTTTGAAAATACAGATGTCCGCTTTTGAAGCAAATATGGTTGTAGAGAGAGGTGCTCAGAAGGGGGTTTCATGGCGCAAGCCTTCAAAGTTTTTGAGGGGGCACATTTTGACAAGGATATGAATTTTTGGAATAAAAACTTTCAAACCAGGTAACAAGAAAAAAAAGCATATAAGAGACCCCTCAAAGTGTAATTGTATATGATCTTTGATCTTTATAATTATACTTTAGCTTGCATTGTTTATAAGCAGAGGTTAGCAATAAAAAAATTTGGGAGAAGGGGAGGTTCATGTGCCATAGTCTTGGGGAGAGGAGGGCATCTCTGGTTGTAGATGTTCGTTTTTGAAGCGAACATGGTTGTTGATTTCCGTTTTTGATGCAGTTGACTCCTAAAAGTTAACTTCATAACTAATTCACCTATGAACTCTAAAATCAGCCTAAACTAATACACTTGCTTATATTTTAAAATTGCTAATAGAAAATAAGATAACAATATTAAATCAACATCAGTATTTTAATAACTTTTTACAAATCTTAAATATTCAAAATCAAATCGATTACAATACTAGATCTCTGTCAAAATCTTCAAATTCATCGGCACATTCAAAATATTTGTCAAAATACTACTATTTTGGGATTCTAGAAGGCCAGGAGTTTCGGTTACGTTTTTGTTATATTCTAATCTGGTATCTTGCTTCCAGTTTTTCGCAATCTGATTTTATAATAATGTTTCAACATCTTGATACTTTTCTTTCCCTTCAGTAAATAGCTTTGTTAGAAATTGAATTACGTGATCAGAATCCGACTATTCCATTGACGCTTTGGTAAACGTATACTTCAGGTGTCCTTTTTTGAAACGAATTGTTAAGTTTATTGCTAAATTTAACATGCTTAAAGATTCTTTTGATATAAACTGATTTCACCAATTAATAGAGCGAGAAAAATGCGTTAAGAATCAACTAAAAACTCAATTTCGAATTTTTTCCGTTATTATATATTATAGAATGTTATATTTTATTTAATGAGTAATATTTTGGAACTGCCATATTCCATCTTCAGTCTTTTATTACAAAAAATGTTTAGTAATTATTTAGATGAGGACCGCACGGGTTACGCGTGGTTCACCATCACTTCGATCACACTTGTTCATGAAAAGTCGAAAACAGCCATTCAGATAAACCCAGATTGCATTCACCACTTCATGAACAAGTATGATCTAAGTGATTGTGAATCACGTGTAACCTATGCGGTTCTCATCTAAATAATAACCAAATATTTGATCAAAAGATAAAAATGAATGAACTTTTTAAAAAGTTAACTAGATGAGCAAAATCTGATTCTGCAGTGCAATTTTTAAATTAGTACCTCTGAAAATTATTGTAATTAACAAATTTAATTTTGATTTATTTATTTTTACTGATTGAACAATTTTAAAAATTAATTTCAGTATAATTAGATTTATTTTTTTCTAATTTTTATGTTGTTGTTTTCTTTACACAGAAATACAATGTAGAAATAAATAATTTTACTACATCCTGGTCAGATGGATTAGCATTCAATGCACTCATTCATAACTTTCGACCAGAACTTTTCGACTATGCTAATGTTGCGAGACGACAACCAAATGCAAGACTTAATCATGCTTTTAAAATTGCACAAGAATTTCTGAACATAGAAAGGCTCCTAGATGTTGAAGGTTTGTTAATTAGAAATATTCATTTTTTTAATTGAAGTCATGATTTATTTTATAATACTATGATATTTATCAATTATTATCTGTGTTTTGGATGTTTTCTGTACTTTGTGTATATATTTATGTATATTAGATTTATTTTAGCATATTTTAATGTATAGTTTTCTCATAAATGTATTTTTCAGATGTTAATACCTCAGTGCCTGACAAGAAGTCTATAATGATGTACGTGATGTGCTTATTTCAATCACTACCTCATTCAGCATCTGCGAGTGATTCTGCAGAGGGTCAACAGATGGAGGCTAGTTTGCAATTATTCATTTGTATAATAATTAAATGAAATTTTCATTAACTAGAGTAAATTGTATAAAATATATAATTGGAAGGACTGTGTTATCTATTTTATACCTAATATTGAGGCAATAGATTTTAATGGGCTCAGTGGTACAATTTGTCTAGACAAGAATTGTTGGTGGGATGTGCATTCAACTTTTTGGTTGTATATCATTATACAATTTAATTTAATTTAAAATTTGAATTTCTAAAAATAAACGTATTTGCTAATTGTTATAATTAAATTTTAAATCAACAGGCAATAAAACAAGGTGTATTGCATTTTTTGTTTCGTGCTCTGTAATTCATAATTACATATACTGATGTGATTCAGGTTTTAAATTTATATTATTAATAATAAAATATTTTAAATTAATGTTCAATGTTTTATATGATGTTGCAGTGTGATAACAGTAACAGTAGGCCATTAAGTTTAGCTACTAATGTCTCTGTCGAGCTTGGAGGGTATCAAGTTGCCCTAGAAGAAGTTTTGACTTGGCTTTTGGAAGCAGAGGACCGCTTGAACATGGACCAGCCGATAGCCGAGACTCTAGAAGATGTCAAGTTGCAGTTTAATGAGCATGAGGTAGATTATTATTAAAGAATATTTTTGTCTACAGTTAACTGTGTTGACAAGAAGAATTTTTATTACCTTGAAATTAGTCATGGGTTATTAATACTTCACAATCTATTCATGTTTTGAAGTAATGCTATCAGATAGCTTCAGTTAAAAAAAAGCTGATACCTTTAAAATGTTTAATAATTTTTTTAATGTTGTTAGGCATTTATCAACGACCTATATCGACATAGGGAAGGTGTTGGTGCAGTTCTAGAAGAAGGAGTGAGAATGCTTAATGAGGGAGGATTAACAAGAGATGAAGAAGAAGAAGTTCGAATTCAGATGAAACTGTTGAATTCTAGATGGGAAACTCTGCGTGTTAACGCAATTCAAAAGCAATCCAGGTTTGTACTACTGTATTATTATTCTATTATATAAAACAGACTGTATGTTGTTTTTTCTGATGAGTATGTCACCAAATGGTTCAACAGCTGACAATGGTGTTAGCTAATAATAATAATAATATTTATGTTCTTGTTTTATAAAAATCTGTGAAAAAAAAGTCACTGACTACTTGAAATATTTGAGAAACTCCTGCCAGAAAAAATTTTCAGTTGATTTTTAAAGTCTAAAAAGTAATTTAAATATAACTGTGAATATAAAAGCAGTAAAAATATTTACATTACTATTTTTGTAATTTTTATTATTTGTTTTAGAATTTATGATGCAGTTGGGTCTCTCCAAGATGAGAAAGTAAATTCTTTGAGGCAATGGATGACACAAATAGAGGATCGTATTTCTAGGATGTCAGAAGTTGGAACTAATGTAATTTCCCTTAAAGAGCAAATGGAAACTCATAATCAACTGCAACAAGACATTAAGAAACAGCAAAGTGTTGTTGATGCACTGTCTCAGTTTGTTGTCGTTGTCGATGACAATTCGGCTGAAAGTAAGTTTTGAATCACTTTATAAATTTTTTTTTTATTTTTATTTCTTAATGACATTTACAATTGTATTGAATAAATACATCTAGTAAATTTGAACATATGGATACAATGACATGAAAACACTTGCTGAGTAACTACCCAATGGTAGCACTCTAATGATAAATTTAAAAAAGTTTTTGTTGTTTGAATTTTGGTGTAATTTATACGAAAACGGTGGTTATACTTGATTCTTCTTGACGTACTGATAAATATTCAACAATTGCAGAGAAGTGGATATTTAGGATATTGCTAAATATAATATATACTATTCCCTAATATAGGAAATAATTTTGTTTGTAGCTCATTCTCAAATAGAAGACCAGCTGGCTGCGTTGGCAGAAAGATGGGCTCACATATGCCAGTGGGCTGAAGAGAGAGGTGCAAAGCTCCAGACGATGACTAACAAAATTTTTGAGCTTGATCATAGTTTAACCTCACTCGAATCATGGATCAATCAGCAGGAGGACATGTTAAAGAATATGGAAGCCCATCCCGTCTCCGAAATAGGAGAAATTTTAGAAAGGATTAAACATCTCCAGGTATTTATCTCTTTCATTATGCAATTTATGTCAAAATTTACAGTATTAACAAAATATTATCTATTCATGTTTAGTTGTTTGATGATGTATCGTAATATGTTTAGAACTCCAAATTGTTTTTTTATAAAAACACGACATTATTACATATACTTTATGAACCAAATTTGATACACCATTAATTTTAATATAATTATATTATAAGAATCTATTATCAACCTTACAGTTTAAATTAATTAGGCTTTTTCATTTTTCCATAAAATATATTTTTTAATGATTTTGTCGTGATATATGATAATAGCTGAAGAGTTTCTACCCCCTTATAATGGCCTGCATAAGTGCTTGGGAAATATTGGAGGAGAGGGGTGATGGTTAGTATAACATTATAACATTGTTCAATACATGGAAGGAGGGAAGAGGATAAGAATGAATAAATTATTAGCACAGTAGTCAGTTAATTAATTACCTGTAATATTATATAATTATTACCAGTACTGTGTATTGAACTTTTTGTGAATAATTTTAAATTACTGTGAATAAAATAAATTACTGCGAAATATTAGAAGGGCTGGCCCTTGTTCATAAAATATTGGGGTAAGACAGAAAGTATTGAACTCATCGATATATTGTCTCCTTAAAGGACAAACATTTTTTTTTTTTTTTTACTGTAGTGTACAGTGATTATTATATTTTTTAATACTTTATAATCTTTTGCAAATAGTAATTCATTAACAGCTTTGTTCAACACATATGTATATATACATATTTTTTTTTCCAGATTTTAAAACATAACATGGATATTAAGTATAACAAACTAATGAGCCTTCACGATAGTATTCAAGAGCTCTCGGTGATCGACCCTGAAGGGGCGAAAGACTATTTGTCTCGATGGGAGACCATCTCTGACAGCTGGGATGCCTTGACGATGATTATGGATGTTCAGGCTCACAGAGTAAGCCCATTATCTTTTACTAATTACATTGCAAATGCATGATATGGTCATGCCTATTAGATAGTAATTAAGCATGGTGCACCTCTTAAATGGAATGGTCCAGTCATCTAAATAACATAGTGTTGTTCCAGCAATTATTAATTGTATTGAGTTCCCATTTTCTAAGAGATTATTTATGTAAAAAAAAAAAAACTTTTCTTTTTCTCATCTTTCAAGTAACATTGATGAATAAATAATAAATTTTATTAATTTACCAAATCTTCTATATATTTCAAAATTTTCTTCCTCATGGCCACAAATTATTATTATTTTTTTATTTCTAGTTTATTTGAGTTTAATGTCCTGTACTCTATTTATTGTATTAAGGATAAGTTATACAGATTATGAGCTTACTTTCGCCATAGTGTGAAGGTCGATATTTATTCCTTTGGGCCGCATAAAATAAATTTCCTCCAATTCAGGTCAAATTTGAACTGGTGCTGCTTCTGATTTGAAGTTACTTGGGTGATGTCTTAGAAAATTTGTTTACCACAGTTATTTTAATTTTTTTTTTAGTCATTTTTTTTAAATTTCCTTCTCTTCAAAATTTCTAATTCTAACTGGAATAATTTAATCAAACATATTCATTATTTTGAAACTTAAATTTTCATTACATAACTGTAATGTTGCAATAGTTTTTATAAAACCAATACTTGTTAATGGGCCATTTCATTATTATTATCTTTTGTTTATACTCATAATAGAAAAAAATCTAGAATTATTAATTTGCAAAAACATTTTTACCAGATATCGAGTTCAGGATTTGAAATTAGTTTGACTCCTGGAGTATCTGACAAACCACCCCTTGTTGAAAGCACCCATGCTTGGCAAACCCCAGTAGAACAAACACATGAAATACAAGAAATAGGGGCACAATTACGTAGAGTTGAGCACGATCTAACTGCAATTTCAAATTCCCTTAACACTGACACACTCAATTTGGATGAGTGCAATGTAAGTTAATCCTTCTGTAATTTTGTTTTGTGCATTTTATTTTTTGTTATTTTTTTCTTAAAAAATAAAACTTATTATTAATAACTGCTTACAGGAAATGTTACGCTCTTTGAGAGAAAAAGAAAAAGAGACTCGAAGATTGTGTGAAACATCTACAGAAATAGCAAATAAAAGACCTTGCGAAGAAACTCATTCTCTAAGAGAAAAATCATTTCAGTTTTCTAGTTTGATAAGTGACATGATTGAAAAGTAAGTTATCAATGTTTTTTTTTTTAAAAGAGGTTATAACTTTAAAAAAAGTGATTGTTAAACTGTTCTTGGCTCAAAGAATCTTTATGTGTGTTGAAATATTCTATATATTTTTTTATCACTATTCATATTATATTAGCTGGGGTGTGTTAGCTTACTTTTTTTTTCTTTTCTTTTTTTGTGGCAAAATGCACCACGAACAAGAAGGCAATTATGCATTTATTATGGGCTATTATAGCTTACATTAATGTCTGTGATAAAAAATACATCCTGAATAGCTTAAATTTACTATATGTTTTTTTCTTTTAACTTGTTTTAATGTTATAGAAAAAAAAAAAATCAAAATTTATACTTGACATGAAATATTTTTTTTATTTTATATATAAATACATCTTTTAATTTATATTTATTATTTTGTATTTTATAGACTTGAAAATGAAGAAAGAAAATTATCCTCTTCACTTAATGATAAGAATAAAATGCAAGTTGACCCAGTTGAATCTAAAATGAATGGCATAGCGATGGAAGTATCAGCTTCAGAACCAACAGAGCAAGAAATGAAGATGATTCCTGAATTATCTCCTAATGAAAAAGAAGCTCTGAATAATGTACTTATTATTTTATTAACTACTTGTTTAAAACCATTTAAAAATTAATTAATATCTACACATAAATATATTGTTTGTTTTTTTGTGTATTGAATGTGTTAATTTGAATTTGAGGTACTGTAATTTCTCGACATTCAAAGGGGATACTTCAACTAGCTACTGAATTCCAGTGAAAACTCATTTTAATTTTTTTTTTTTCTATATTAACAAATATTTTTCGTTAAATTAAATAAATGTGAATTCTTTGAAAATTGAAATTGAAATTGATGAATATAAACATGATTCAACTTTCATCATTTATATAAAATTATGCCATGAATTTTTAAGAAAATGGTTTTAATAACTCAGACGGGAGGGAGAAAAGAAATCAATGTTTTGAAATGTCTTTATAAATATGCATATTTGAGATGTGCTCTTTAAATGCAGTATTAATGTTTGATACCAATCCTCTAATTGTTTTTATAAATAATAACTACTATATTAGTCTCACGATGCTTACTTGAACTACTTTCAGACCTGATATCTTCTTGAACACTCTTTAAAGGAACCCAGTAGCAAGTGATATGATTCATTGTCATAGCTCTCAGAGCAATCATTATACCGTAAACATGTTTTTATAGGTAATAAATAGTCTGGACTCTGTCATTTTAAGGTTTTTATTGTTGCCGACATTTCAACTCAAGCATGTGGTTCATCAGTGCTGGTAACATTTCCTGATGATGAACCCACCATGCTTTAGTTGAAACGTCAGCAACAATAAAAAGCTTGAAATTACTGCGTCTTGTCTATTTATGTAGAACAGTTGACTGACCACCTTTAGTAAACATGGTTTGTTTGTGAGTCTAATTGATTCTCCATGTTTTTGGCATGATGCTTTTAGGTACTGACCAGTGTGGAAGAGATGAAGGAATGTGTGATGTCAATCAAGGACAAATGTCATGTTGGGGAAATAGTCGTCAATAATTCTGTTGAACTATTCAAGTTGAAGGCCAAGTATCAAGGTTTGAAGGATGAAGTTGATAGAAAGAGTTGCGAATACAGGCTACTATATAACAAAGGTAACACTTATTATGATTAAAATTAAGCTATCTCAGCTCACACTCACTTTTTTTATTTATTTTGAATATTTCTAAAGGAAATGATTTGATCAATGAGCTGGAAACACACCCGTGCTCAGAACATCTTAAATCAGATCTTAATGAACTCAGTGATTTGTGGATGGAAGTTACCAATGAAATATTTGAAAAACACAACATCTTACAGGACGCCTCTCACAAATACGGAGAATTCAGAGGTTTTACGATTATCTTAATATTTATTTTATTTAAATAGTTTAATCTCGATTACCCTGAGTTTTTATAACCCATTTTTATTTTTGCCAATCCCTCAAAAACTACTTCATCAATTAAAAATAATAAATTAGTATACAACTTGAAAATAATTTTGGAAGAGAGTTTAGCCTTTTTATAACAAAGAAACAAATTATTTATTTATAGAACTTGAATTAAAAGTAAATCTTCAACATTTGTTTCTATAAATTTTCAAGCTTAGCCTCTTTAAATTGAAAGAGCCAAAAAAATTCACTCAATCAAGTCACATAGCCAATTTGGTCATATTACATCTTTAACTTAAAATATTACTTTCTGTTAATCTAATTATTTTTAACTATAACTAAGATTAATTAAAATGTGACATTATGTACCCCTTGAATATAATTTATCGAGAGTTATATCTTTTTGCATTGTAGCTTTATTAATTTTTTAATTTATATAGCTTTGGTGTCTCAAGAAACGGTTTGGTTGGATAAACTGGAGAAGAGACTTAGAAAATCTCCAAAATCAGCTGCTGATGCTGAAGAGATTTCCCAAGATTTGGATGTAAGTTATCAATTTTCTTTTTGTAAACAGAAATATTATTTATGAATGATGAAATAATGGATTCGTGTTTCTTCACTAAGGACTTGGAAAATTTCGTCCGCAACCATTCAGAATCAAGAGTTGACAGAATCGAAGAGTTCGGTCAAATCCTTATCAAAGACCATGTTATGGAATCGAGTATACAGAATGATATGAAGTCAGTAGTGACCAGGTGGAATCATCTTTGCCAAGAGGTATTATTCTTGAAGAATATTTTCATTTAAAATATATTTAATTACTCCAATATATTATTATTTTTCTTTAATTGAAGAGAAGAATGGTTGGAGTGATCAGTCAAAAAAAAAAAAAAAAGGAAAAATAAATAAGTATATTTAATTTTATTTTTGTAGATGTTTTGGCCCAATGTTCAGGCCTCCATCAGGGTTAAGAAACAACATGTAACAATAGGTTTGAGAAACTATGAACATTGAATACTAAAAAATAAATTAAAAAATTAATATTTAGGTGAAAGATATAGACTAAAAAATGTAGATAAAATAAACTTAAAATAAAATTAAAAAAATAGTCTATACTTATATACTTATAAATAGTCTATATTTTATTATTATTATTATTCCATGTTTATAGTTTCTCTTAATCTTTATCTGTTTTTTTCTTAGCCCTGATGAAGGCTTGAACTTTGGGCCGAAATGTTGGCAAAAATAAAATAAATATACTTATTTATTTTTACTTTTTTTTTTTTTTACTGATCACTCCAACCATTCTTTTCTTCAATTATTCACTACAGTCAACCATGCCTAACATGGAACGTCTAACATGTAAGGATTTTGCATGAAGCTCAGGGAACATTCTTGGATTCATTTTGGAACATTACCTGCAAACTAAAGTCTTTACTAATAAATCACTTAAATTATTATTAGTTTTGGAATCAGGTTGAATCAAGTTTATCATTATGACCATAGTTATTGAGCATGTGATAATTTAAATTAAATACTCAATAATTATTTCAATCATAAAAAAGAAATCATTAAAGAACTGTAGATATATCATAAATATATAAGAAATTAATTCTTCCTAATTTTATTCTGCTTTAATTTTTTGCTAGGCTAAAGATCGAGCTAATATTTTGGAGAAGTCAGTCGAAGAAGCACAACAGTCAGAAACCAACATTGCCAAATTCCAAGATTGGCTTTCTCATGTCCATGCTCAGATTATTTCAAGAATGGAAAATGACTTGACCTCTGATGATTTACCTGACGATGTGCAAGTAATTAACTTAATTTTTTTTCTTTTTGTAATGGAATAAAATTAAACCATTCCTTGTTATTCTATAGATCGATCGACTTGTTTTTTTCCAGAGGTTAGTGGATGAGTTTGATAAACAGGCTAACACATTAAAGGACATGGAGGATGAAATAAAATATTATGAAGCAGAAGGAAAAGTTGAAGCTGCTTCCCGTCTCCAAGAACAAATGGTTCTTCTGAGAGTGAGTTCTTCCTTCTTATTAATAGCCATATTATATTTGATTTTTTATAGACAATATTTATTTTTTTGCAGCAATAAACGGTTTTTGTTTCTTGTTCTTCTTTGAAATCAAAATGATTTAAATAATTGTATTGATGTTTATAAGTATATTAAGCAAAAGTTTTTATTTTCTATAGTTGAATAATTTATTTTTTAGTTATAATTATAAATCTTAATATTTTGAATTAGGATTGTATTAAACTTTATTATTCATTCTTGTGAGAAAGTATTAGTATTTATAGTATTATGTTTGTTATTATTTCTACCATTTCGTAATAAATTAATCTTGTTTTCCTTGTTTGTATACAAATATTGGTATTACATTGTAAATTAGCTTTAGAAATAATTAACACATATTCTTTAATTGGTTCATCGAATTTAATTAAAATTTTAATTTCAGAATCAGTTCATGGAAGTGATGGAAAAATTTGAAGATTGGAGGTGTGCAAACAATGTTGAACCACATTTGTGTAGGGCCCTTCGTGAACTCCGTGGGGTTGAAGAAGCATCTTGTCTGTTGGAACTTGCTTCTGATGACCCTGAAGCGATACAAGGGCAACTGAACCACTGCATGGTAATGTTTATAGTCTTTTCATAATTTTTAATTGATATTAATGTACATTTTTACCAAGTAAATATTTATATTGCAGAGGTTCTATCAAATGCTGAGTGATCTGAAAGGAGAAGTTGAAAATATCATCAAGTCTGGTAGAAAAATGGTTGAGGATAAGAGTGTCCCCGATCCAGAGCAGTACACTGTCCGTCTTGATACATTGAAACAGCTATATAACAAAGTATTAAATGATATTTGTTTATTTTCTTCCTTTAGTTACAGTTTTACATTAGGAAAATGAAAATATCTCCATTTATATTCTTTGTATAACTTACTGTCTATATATGTACTTTTATCATTCATTTTAATCTCAAAAAAACAAATACATTGAAATCCATAGATTTTTTATTTTCAAGAAATTCTTAAATTAACAAATATTTCTTCCCATTTCAGCTTGGAGAAGAAATAACTGTCTCGAAAAGTAATTTAGAAAAAGCATTGGAAGTATCACAGACCCTTAACATGGATTTGAACAGCCTACAAAGCTGGGTTCAAGCTGTTACTAATGATTTAGACCAAGTTGAGGCCACTCCTGCCTCCGACCGTGATATTAAAGCCGAATTAAGATTCGTAAAGGTAGATTTTGGATTACTTACTTTCAATGATAACTTTTACAAAGCTTTTCATTGATGATTATCACTCTGTCAATACAGGAAACAATAGAAGAGTGTAAAAAGCAAGAGACTCTTCAAGGAAAAGTGCAAGAAAGCTATAACCAATTCATCAAGTTCTGCGATCCTTCCTACTTAGACACTCTCAAAGAGAGAATGTCTGAAGCTTTTAACAAGCTAGGAACTATAAAGAGTCGCTTAAATCAAACTATTGAACAACTTGAGGTATAGTTAGAAATAAGCTCTACCATAATTTGGTAATCAATTAGTTACAAATCATTTTCAATTTTTATGGTGTGGATTTCTTTTAAATTGATGCAATAGAAGCATTAGTAAATGTCTTGGTTGCTATTCTGCTTATTATAACCATGCAGTTTAATGGTATTATAAAATATTAATATTATTACTATACAATTTAATTTGCCAGAATTCTTATAATGTGTTCAACTTCACTATAAACAATATTAATAATGCTTAATGAACCCAAGTATAGTTTAATAGTCCCAGGTTTGAATCCTGGCTCATGGCAGAAAATTATTTATTTTGTTTCATTGGCTGTAGGGCGACCCTGGACTAGACTGGGTAGGACCTCCTGGGGCACACCCAGCCTTTATAAAGTGGGTATCCTTAATTAAACAATTAATTAAGGGAAAACCTGACGGTTGAGCGTGATTTCAGTCAAATCACCTCCTTGTACAACCATGACCAAGAAACAGTGCTTTCCCTAAATAGTACTGAATCATTACACTACCTCATGTTATGGTTATCTTCCTCAGATCTGTTTCTGTTGCCTATCGGACTACATCATGTTCAAAACTCATGTTGTGCGGTACCCTGATAAACTGACGATTACGAATTCGAGTCCCGTTGCTATGGGCCTTTAACTCTGGCATTAATCCCCTTTCCTCTCTACTGGCCCTGGAAAAACGGAAAAAGCAAATTAGAGGGAAAAATTCTGGGTGTGAGCCAATAATTACTTGTTTAGACCTAATAAATAACCAATAAAGTACCGAAACTTCGGATTACTTTGAAGCAAACCAAACAGATTTTTGGGTATGTGGAACAGTGCCCATAGTTCTATTAGATTGTTGTAGAGAATGTGCTTTGTGTAGGTATATATTTTAATAATGACATACCTAGGTCTAATATAAAATGTTTTTTGGCAGGTGCAAGTAACCTCCTAGTAGATCCCAGTATGCCTAAGTTACAGTTTTTTTTTATATAAAAAAATTAAGAAAAACAAGTCTCTTTAATAATATGATTCACAGAAAATAAGAAAAATCAAATGCAAACATTTCTGATAAACTTATAGTTTTATGGAGAAAGGAATCATTCCACATTACACTCATTGTGAGTAAACTGAAGTGAAAATTAAATGGCTCAGGAAATCTAGAAGCATTTAAATCAGTGTCTTATATTTTTTGTCACTAACCTAATGTTATTCTTTTTACCAACCCAAAATATTGCTGTTATATAAATATATTGATACAAAATAAACTTAATTTTCCATGAAGAAATCCTGATCCAAGAGATTGCTCCTTTTTGGTAAAAATAGTTAAGACTTATCCGATTCCAAACCACCTCTTAACTCATTTTTATATATTGGTTCCTTTCTGCTAAATGCCATCCAGTTGATGTTGACACAATGTTTGGAATTAATAATTTATGTAGGCCTTATTGTATACAACTATATGATGTTCTTTTTGGGTGTTTTGTTTTATTAGTTAACTCAATATGAAATAATTTACTTTTGTGAATCATGCGCATGCATGCTTGATTTGAATTGACATTTTTTTGCACATTTTGTGAGCATTTATTATTTTGGTGTGGCTATTTAATAATTTGATTTTTAAAATTAGGTATAGTATAAATGGAATTGCTTTCAGTTGAATGAAATTCAAAGTTCAAGCGAATAAATTTCGGGAGTATAATAGTACAATAAATTCTTGTATCATCTTATAAAATTTAATTATAGTAATACAATCTTTTTTACTAACACAGCAATTTACTCTTAAAATTTTTCTTTAATAAATTTGTATGACTTTTGTTTTGGTTTTCATATAAAATATTGAATTTTATTTTAGTAGTGAATAATCATTAAAAAAATAATTTATTCTTAAAATTCGCAATATATTTATTTTTCATTATAATTTTGTATTTTCTTAAATCTCTTGCAATGTGTGTTTTTTTTTACTGCATGAGCATGAAATCATTTATATGCACTTTTTTTTTTTATAACTGGCTTTCACTTTACCAATGATACTTCAATATTGCCTTGCATATCCAATTTCTTTTTATTTTTAAAGCTTGTTTGTTTGTTCTGTTATATTTTGCTTATGCTTTATTATGGCTGGTGGACAGGTTGCAAAAATAACAGTAGCTTATTATAACATGGCTTCACCAAGCATATTAATTTTTATACCTTGCTGCACTCAACAATGGAAAGCCTTTGGTTGGTGATGGAAGTATAATATTTTAAGTTTGCGAAAAAAAGAATAACTTCATAGCTGATACTCTTTAAAAAATTTTGACAGAAGACAATTTGATAATTTGTTTTCAGGGAATTGGCAAAACTGTTGCTGTTGTAAGTAATAAAAGTATAAAAGAAGAAAAAGCCGAGAATAACCAACCAGATCAAACTTTTTCAAAAGATATACCTACTATATCTGTTACAGAAGTCAATGAACAAGCTGAAAATGCTAATGAAAAGAAAGATTTATCTGGTATTTCTAATCCAGCATTTGATGATGGAGATGTAGAAATGAAATCAGTACCACGTGCTAACAACCAAACAAACAGGTGTAGTGTTTATGAAAATGTTGACTATATTCAAACAATACCTGAAGAGGTTGAAACTTCGGAAGAAGTTTCCTCTAATCATTCAAAAGACAAAACCTCTGATTTTAAAAAGAAAGAAACCGGTAGCGCTGAACGTAAATGTCAGATGGTAGAGATAAAAACCATTGAAATTACAAAATCTTGTGTTGCCTCTTTAGAGCATGCAGAGCATACTGTTATCGAACCTGAGTCAGTCGAGATTGTGGAAATCATAGACTCAGGTGCTGATGAATCAGATTTTACAGACCCTGAAGACAAGAGATCTCCAGCTACTGTACGTAGGGTTGTTGATCCAAAGAACAGAAAAAATCTTGCTCCTGGAGAAATTCTAGCCAAGAGACAAAAATTAGCATCTGATGAAGCTCTCCGGAACAGCAATGAAAATTTGAAAGCTAAAATGAATATAGACCCTGACTCAGTGACTGATATAGAAATAACTGATGTTATTAACACCTCAGAAAATAATGTTAGTGTTGTTAGCAATGATATACCACCAGTATGTTTAACCATCTCTGACAAAATTAATCACACTGAGCAAACAAAGGTTACGGCCATGAATAAAACTGAAAAGTTACATGCGGATGAAGTAATGTTAAGAAAAGAGGTTCAAGTATCAAAAACATATGAGCTGATAGGAAATTTTCCAACATCTCAAGATCTTGATGTTCCTGTACTTGAAGATTGTGATAGTTTCTATGGGAGCGATAAAGAAACAGATGATGTCGTTGTCTTTTCTGAAGATGAAGTGAAGATTGTAGATGATAGTTCGGATGACGATGTTGAAATGGTGCAAAACACTGACACCACTACTCAGGTGCGTCTTAAAATTAATTTGTATCTATTTATTTTTATTTCGTTATTTGTATTTTTATAATTTTGCAATCTGTCCTAGATGGCCTAAATTATTTTATATTGAAAATTGAATATGGTAATATTAATTATAAAATTGTGGTTCCTTTGATTTTGACATTCATGTTTCAAAATTATTAGCTCCCTTGAATGATTGTAATTATTTTTGTATTTTTTTTTTTTTTAAATTTTATAATTTGTATATAGTTATCAGCTCATATTTGTTGATGGTTTGTGGAATTGTAATATTTAATCAAAATTTACCTAACACTTAATTTTGTTACTGATTAACTTATTTATTTATTTGATATCCCTTATCGTTTATATAGAATATATGTGTCATTTATTTTTGTTAAATATACTCTCCTAAATTTGAAAGACAGTGATTTGTATGAACATAACTGATTTGAAAATTGCAATGAATTTTTAAAAACTCATTTATATTTATTTATTTTCATTATTATCATTTTACTTTCTTTGTATTACAATTTTCTAGTTTCTTCCTTTTATTTGTCTGTTTTGAGATGAAACTATTAGATCGCTTAAAAGTAGATGCTTTCTTTGGTAGTTAATTTTATTTGTTTTTATACTCCTTTGTTAAAGTAATTATCATCTAAGAATATTATTGTGATGGTGGTTTAAATTTTCTTATATTTTTAACTTTGAGTTGATGTGGAAATATTATATTAATATTTCTCAATACTTATTCAAATATTTTCTAAGAAGAAAGTTAAACTTATTATTATATTTATTTGTTTACCTTATTTATACTTTTTTAATTTATTTCTTAATACAACATCTTAGCAAGGTAAGCCACCCTTACGAATGGAAAATGGAATAGATAAATATTCAGTGATGAAAGTTCATGCAGATTCACCCAATTCTCCTAGCCTTCCTTTGGAACAGGAAGTGGCAGAGTATGAAGAAGCAGCTTCTGAAATGATGGATAGGATGGGTACCATGCTGCAAACAATAAAGGGTGTTTCAAAAGAAAAAGACCCAGGCCGTCGATTAGAGGTAATATTCCTGGTTTTGGCTTTTTTGTAATCAGCATTTTCTTTTGGCAAATAAAACAATACAAAGAAATTATTTTTTTTTAAAAGTTAAATTATTAATATTTTTATTAATAATATATGTTTTTAAAGTTTTGATTTATAAATCCAAAATAAAATAATGTCATATACGCTTGGCTGTAATAGATTTTGTAAATCAAGAATTTCTCAGTACAAGGTATGAGGTTATTTTTATGGTTTTTATGGATTTTTAAGCTCTTTCTGATCATAGAACATTTAACAGTCCCTTGGTCTCCAGAGAACACCATTATATTAAGAATGAAGCATCCTATCCCTGTTGAGAGATTTTATTTTATTTGTTGCCATATCTAATAATATTGCTTATACTACTATTCATATATTTTCTCAGATTAATTAAGTAACGAATATTTTCTCAATCCATTGTTTTTATCTCATTTGCTGAAAATTTTATTATAATATATCTATTTTTTAGATACTGGAGAGTGAATTGAGCCAACTAGCACCGGATGCTGCGACACTGATCAGTAGAGGAGATGGCTTGGTTTTGAAAGTACATTGTGTTATGCCTGAAAAGGCTCTTGCTTTAAAAACAACCTCTCAGAATAAGCTGAGAGCTAAATGGGCAGAAGTAATGCAACAGACTGAGGTAATTAATAGCAGTAATGATTGGCTAAGGATGTGTACAGAGCTGATTAGAGATTTGTAAAAAGTAGTTAAAACTAACAATAAAATTGTAAATAGTGGGCTGTTCTCGTCATTTTGGACAAAACCTTTTGCATATCATATGATCTTTTTTATTTAGACTACTCTGTTTTGTACTGTGATGTGTTCCTTATATTCTCCTCTTTTTTATGATTAAGTCTGTTTTTAAGGATTGAAATCCTTTAGCTCCTTTTATCTTAATTTCTACAACAAAACTCTGAATGTCCTACAATAAAATTAAAATATATATACATAAAATATCAAACTTTTTGATCATTCATGTTCATTATTTAAAATATGTGGAGGTTAGGTATTCTTCCCAACAATTAACGTAAGTTCAAATAAAATTTTAGGATTAATTGAATTTAGATTGTAGTTAAACTAATCCAGTTTTTAATGAAGATTACACATAGTCAAAGAATACTCTTTTTCCTTATTTCAAATGATAACTCTTGATTATTTCAAGAACTTCTGCTGAATATATTAAGTATAGGGTTATTGTCCAATTTATTATTATTAGTTTTTACTAACTTGAATATTACTCTGACTTTTATATGGAGGCCTCTCCATATAAAAACCATAGTTGTTTCTCCAATTATGTAAACATATATATTTTAAAATATAAAATGAGGTAGAAATATATCTTTAGTATTTTTTGTTAGGTAAATACATACTTCATGTATACTGTTTGAATTAAGAATAATTTGTTCTTCTATAATTATTTGTTCAATAAGTAATTGGGCTAATTATTCTAATCTCAACACAGACATTTTAAAATTTAATTTTACCTTTATAAATAATATTTAATTATGGAAAGGTAACTGAATGAAAAATTTATGACAAACAGCTATAGGGTTGGCAAAACTGCTAGCACTAGAAATGGTTTTTAATCAAATTTTTACAGCATTCTTTTTTTCTTTTAGCTGAGATATTCTATAGTTTTAACTTCCTTATATGATGATTTTCAACAAAAAAGTTATTTATTATTTATTTTTCTTTTAGTCCATTTAATTGTAGCTTGAAATTTTTATATAATTCTTAGTGCATTCAATATTGTATAAAATGTAACTTTAAATCTTATTTTAACAAATATTAGCTAAACCTAACAGATAATGAATAAGGAAAAGAATTAATTAGATATAAATAGTTGATCCATTGATAGTCTGAACTGATAAAATGCTTACACACCTTATTATACACATAGGTAAATATAATTAATAAAGTTATGGATATTTAATAATTGCATTATTATTTAGCTCATTTATAATTTTTTTACATTGTTTATTGTGCTAATTTGGTTAATTATACACATAAAATATGTGAGAGAATGGCCCATTTTAGAAATAATTTATTAAAGAAAGCATGGTTTGAAGTGGTGTTGAGATTCTAAAAATTTTAACTGAATTTTGTTTGTGTAATTAGTATTAATCCGTTGGAAAAGTTTTACATGTGTTGGTTTCATAGGCTCAAAAGTTGGATGCTCAGAGAGCTGATGTTCTTCTAATTGAACATCACAAGCTAATAACAAATATTAACACAAAGATAACTAATATCAATCTGAAGTTAGGACAAGCTAACAATGACGAAGCCAAGTTACAGGTAATTTTTGTCTTAACGTATTAACTACTAATTTAGGTTGTAATGAAAAACTGTTGTAAATACTTCTCTTTTAAAAAAAAAAAAAACTTGTGTAGTTATTAAGATTAATAGACTTATTTTCAGGAAGTAATGGTGGAATACGGATCATGTGAAGAATCAATGTCCCGACTTTTTGAAGTGACCAAAGATTTATCTAATCTTCAAGTTGTAACTGACAGCAAAGAGCTTGCTGCTGCTTGGAAAGCTTTGAGTGACAAATTTAATACCTTGAAGAAAAGTCCAAATCTTAAAGATAAATGTATACTTATGCCGGATAAGGTAATTTATTTCAAAGGTTCCAAGCTGCTTTACTAAATAATATAATGCCTCCTAAGAACACTTAAGATCATGTTAATTTTTTATTTATTTTTTTAAACAGTATGAAGATCATTTGCATTAAAGTGATAAATGTTTCATCACTCTTTTTTAATTGACATTGTCATTTCTAAGGTTCCAAACATAATTTCTGGAAGGGTTTGGAATTTTCTTTTACCCTTCAATGTAATTAAACTAGAATGAAAAATGTTAGCAAATTTAATTGAATAGTTTTATTTTTAAAATAATAAGTGACCGAGTTAGGAAAGTTTTTAGTATGAGTAAGTTTGAACAATACGTTGTTCTGTTTACTCTTCTATCATTTGTATGATGTTTTTAAACTTGAGATGATGCGAACAAATATGCATTTAGATCTTCACATTTTGTACTGGATGTGAAGATGATGATTTGTTTATATTTTATTAAATCATAATGTCTCATCTCTCCATGATTCCCTTATAGCCTTTTGTTCTGATAGATAGTTTATATTTCTTGTGTTGATATTTGCTACATTTGTTGCCCTATTCAGTTTTTTTTCTGTGCCTTATTTCTGTTAAAGTTTTATTTATGGATTTTTAAAAATTTATGTCACCGCTAATTTGTTATAATTAATCAGATACTGCAGGTTGCTTCTATAACATATCAAATTAGTAAACTGTTTCTACTATTGCAGGATATGATGGATTCACCAGCTGATTATATTGCTCATGTTAACAAAGTTAGAGAAGCAATATCTATTGTTGCAAGGAAATTAAAACAGCCACCTTTGTCAACTGATTTTGATCCTTTCCACTTACAAGAAGAAGCTCTAAAGGTACTTTTCAGAAATTTGAGTACCAATCCCAATATAATTTGTAATTATTACTAATAATTATGACATTGGAATTAAGTTTTAACGTAAGTACTTTTTATTAAATTTATCTAAAATACATATTTTATTTATTTTTCAGGGAGTTAAAGATAAACTGAACAGACTTAAAAGTGAAGTCGATAAAGTAGACCAAAAAAGAAATAGGATTCTTAGGAAAGTTAGTGGAGAAGGCCGTGAAAATGTTGTAAAAGCGGTAGAGAGGCTAAAACAAGAATGGGAATTAGCTAATACTAATTTAACTGACCGATATAGGTATGATATATAAATTAATATTTATTTTATGGTGTTCATATATGATATTATCATTTAGATAATTGCATGCCTATTTAGTAATCATATTGTTAAGAAAATCTTAATCTGGTGCTAACTACTACTAATAGTTGACTATCGGGTAATTAAGAACTAATGATATGTCACTCATCCGGTGGATCAATGACGTTATGGTAAATGAAGCAATTTTGTGAGAGAGACAAAATAAGGGTACGGGGATGCCGAGCACGCTGTATGCAGAACGGGTTGCTTGGCTACCTGATTAACTGAAGTAAAATAATTACGAGTTTGCATACTTATGCCAGGAGAACTTTTAATTCTGACATTGATCTCCTGGCCTGGGAGAAAACCTGTAAAGGCTAGGAAGGGGTGGACAAAAAAAAAAAACATTCTAATATAATTTAGAACAATTATGTGATTTATATTGTAAATAATCAAATAATTTTAAAAATTGACTGTACCAGAGTAAAATTCTTCTATCTATTCAAGTGTTGCTTATATTATATTATAACATCGATCAGACTAAACACATTTTTCTGAAAATTATATATGTTAAAAGATTTTTCCAATATTTTGTGGTTGCCTCATTGTTCAATCAGATGAGCGATATGAAACAACGTTAAATAAACTTGACAGTGGGAGAAAAGGGAGGTACACAATATGAAGTTAATTATATAAATATATAAAATACAAGGAATGACTACATATTAAAAAAAAAAAAAAAATCATTTAAAAGTGAGTAGCCTCTATTCAATATCTCTGACCACTCACTTCTCCTTTACTATTAAATTTACAGATTTTAAGTATACACACTCATCTGTTTTTTCAACAGTTGTTAGGTAATGTATCATAGGTAAAATTCAAAATTATATTGTATTGATCTTCAGAAATATTGAAACTTTCTGTTTTCTTAAATAGTGTGTTAGCTTTTTTAGTTGAATGTATGCATATTAACAAATATATGTATATTCATCCTTCATATTCAGGTAGCTTAAAAGGGCTCGAAAAAAATTTCAAATTCAGAGATTTTTCCAATTTATTTAAGTAATTATTAATTCAATTTTGTCTTCATTTAATTAACTTGTATACAATATATATATTGGTAATTCACCATTTTTTTTCAAAATTTCTACTAACCAATAATTTTTCTCTCTATTTCAAGTCATTTAACTAAGTGCAAGGAACAATGGGAATCTTTGCGAAAGAACTGTGAAAAATTCGCTGATTGGCTATCCACCATGGAAACAGCCACCAAAGATTTGGATACTAACAAGCAATCTGCTCTAGAAGTTAAAGCAAAGTTAAGAGATTTAGAGAAACAAGCAACAACCAAAACTGGGTAATGTTAAAACTTTTCTTTATTTTATTAATAAACCGATGCATCCTTTGACTATTGAGCAGTTTTATTACTAGATCGTACATGATTTTATGATAGTTTTCTTTTCGTGTTAGGATTTAAGTTTTATGAAATATTACTCTGAAACTTATGTAATTTTAGATGTATTATAATGCTTTATTATTTGTAATTTTCAGCGTGATGAATAGAATAGTCGGAGCTGGTAGAGACATGGTTGCTCTTGGTGGATCACAAGCTAAAGAAATGTGGCAGACTGTGGAGTCTTTGCGCCATCGCTGGAATCATCTTTTAACCCAATTCAAGAGTATAAGAGAAACGTAAGTTAAAACTGAATTATATTTATATATTTATTATATACAGTTGAACCTTTGTATCTGAAACATGAGGCCTCCTTTAAAAAATTCAATATATGAAAATTGCAATGTATAGAAATATAGCAGTTTTTTATCTTTTGCAAACTAAAAACAATTACAGTTATTTTTTAGACTTAAAGAATTATCACTTTTTTTCTACTATTCAAAAGTATTAAGTTAACTTGATGCAATATATTTTAATGGTAAATGTTATAAATTGAGTTAAGTATAGAAATAAATATTTGAAAACAAAACTTTTAGAGGTAATAATTAGGAATAAAAAATAAGACAGTTTTAATTTTATGAGAATAAAGATTAAATTCTTAGCATGTGAAATCTTTTCATCTCGTGATAAAAACTGCAAAAAATGTTTAAAAAAATTATTTAGAAAATGGATTCAGCTGGTTTTAGAAGTTTACATTTCATTTAATGGATTAACTTATTAAGATATGGATTTTTAAAATATAATAGCTAGAAATAAAAAAAAAAGAACGAGGTAGATTTGTGGTGAAAAGGGCTGAGTTAAACCTCCCCTGGTTTTTGCCTCCCTCCCTACTATCCCTCAGAACCCAATGGGTTGGGAATGGCCCTTAGCCAAATCTTGCCTATCTGTGACACAAATGTCAGTGTACCCGGTGGAGTCACCCAGGAATAGCTGTTTTTATCAATGTTTGTTTTTGTGAATTTTCAATTTACTTTATAAAACCTCTATAAGTGATCTGAAGTTAACTTGAAAATATATTATTAAATTAAAGTAATTATTCCCTATTATGATACATTTAGATTATCCACAAATATGATTGTGTTGAACTAAGTGATTTATTGTTCTTGTTTTGATTGAAACTTATCATTAGAACTAACTGAATCATTTTAGTCGCTTTAAGATGTCAAAGTAAGTAGTTTTTCTCCAGTTTATTTTTATGCTATATGATATATGAATTAATAAGAACCTAAAATTCTATGTTTTATGGTTACCCTTCATTACCGATGTACTTTATTGACAAATTTTCCAAATCATTAGCTTTATTTGAAGGTGATCTATTTTGTTCTATTTAGAAATAACTTGTATCAAATTCTTTCCTTATAATCACTTAATTTTATATTCAAGGTCATTATCAAAAGTTTAAATTAAATCTTTTATTTTCCCTACTACTACACTTATAGTATTTTAAGTTATTTCTATCTTAGATCTCTTTACACTTATTTACAATTAGTAACTAACTTTGCTGCATTAACTTATTCAAATTATTAATTATTATAATTTATTTATAACATAGAGGTCCTAGATTTTTTATGTATTTTTTTTTATATTTAATGTATATTTATATAAAAAGGAAATCAGATTTACTTTATAAATACTTACATAGAAAGAAAATGAGATCTGTAACATTATTACTATTCATATAAATAATAAATATTTTATATTTAATAGATTAATCTAATTAACATTAGTACTAATTTTTGATTATTTAAAAAAGTGATAAGTAGAAAAAACTTAATAATAATAAATTAACTAAGCAAGTGTAGGGTTGTCACAATTGATTGAATATAATAAATAAACCAGGTCTATGCTGGGTTGGCAGAACTGATAACATTAGTGAAGCTTAGAAATGGCCAATTTACTTGCTAGTTATTATAATTTAAATATGTATCTTTAATGTTATGTTAAATTTTTCAGTATTTATAGTTTGCTAATATGATGTTTCATAATAAAAAGATTGTTTTAAACAATCTGTATTTATTTTTTTACCTATGTTTAGCAATAACTTGAAAGTTAATACAAATGAGTATCTTTAATAAGTATATGAAAACATTTTCCATGTATTCATTAATAAAAAATCAAATAATTCCAAACAGTTAATGCCAATGAAAGGTAATTATAATACATAATTAAATTGTTCTTGAGTTTTATAATCATTTTAAAAATAGGAATGTTATATCAGATTATGAAAGCAATTTTTTTTTAAATATTAAAATTTTCTTACTATTTAAATTTTTCCTATATAAAATATCATTTTTAACTTATTTTGAATATTTTTTTTAGTTGTTATTCGGTATAATATGATTAATGTTTTAAAAAAATATCCATTCCTGTATTAGTTTCAGTTTTCTGTATTTGGTTTAAGTTTAATACTATTCATTATTAGTATTTCATAGTACATTTAATCATATAAATGTCTGTAAATAAAATAATGTTTAATATTCTATGCTAGTAAAAGTGGATTGTATCTTTAATATAATTTACTGTTTTTTTGGTAATAATAGACTCTATGTTTATGAAGTGTGTAGGTTATAGTTTTCTGAACTATATGGTTGGTTCACAGACAAAGTGGCAAATCTGCAAGTTTTATTATTTTTGGATTTATGAATTTCTGTTAGGTATTTTTTAATAATAGCATGAGTATTAGCTTGTTTTTAAAATATAATGTGATAAATTTAAATAAGAAATTAGGTACTTTACATTTGCAATAATTTCAGACCTAATTTACATAGTTTGAGACATTTTCAGATATGTCACTTTAGCATTGAAGCAACAGTATTCAAAGGATTATAATTATATATTTTTCTCCCCATAAAGCATCATTGTTATCAATGTATTTTATTTTAATTTTTGACAATATGGCCATTCTTGTTTGAACAATAGTTTCTGTGTAAGAAAAGATTTATTAAGTAGTTTGAAAATTTTCATTTCAAAATCTTATAGAACATATAAAATGTTTGAAGTATGAATGTTATCATTAAAAATTCCATATCATCATAAAAAACTAAAATATTAAGCTTCATAAAAGAAAAGAAGATAAGAATTTTTAATGAACACATTTAAAAAAAAATTTAATCATAGTTATCCATTTAATTCTACTTAATTAATTTATTATATAAAAATCAATCTTAGTATTGAGGTGGCTAAATGTAGAACTGTGGAATTAAAGTGTCTTATACATTAATGTGTAGTGTGCTCAGGCCGAAAACAGTGTTTTCTATGGATTCAATTATTATTATGTTGCTGACTCATAGATTCGATGTTAAAAATTTTGTTCTTTCTACCTTCCTTGAAATCAAGGACGTGAAAGTCATTTAACTTGCAATGTATTTTTTGGGTCTATACATTTTTTAGTAAATGAATATTACAATGTCTGGTGTTTAGTGTCTGTTCAAAATAAATTTTTATGTGCATATTGTGTAGTCTTGAATTAATTTTGTTAAATTGATATTTTAATTATTATTATCTTTGAGACTGATTATATTTAAAGAAAAACTGTTATCATATTTGTTCACTATATTAAAAAAATCTGGAAACTATTTCTTGCAATTGTAAAATTTAAGTTAATCATTATTATAAAATATATTATTTGTTTCACTCAAATATAGTTTTATCAACCGTTTCTTTTTTTATTTTTGTAGGCTTGGAATGATGCAAGGCACTAAACATGGTGCTAAAGGTGCCGTCGAATCAGCTACGGCGTGCCTAGACCAGGTGAAGTCCCTGCTATCCTCGCAGGCCAATCCATCGGACGAGGCAGCGCTGTCAGTCAGAATGTCCTTGGTTAAGGTATACAATTTTCCTTGACTACTATATTTAGACAAAGCAGCCCTTCCCGTGCTCAGTGGACCCTCCTAATATATAATGCCACATGTGCTGCAGTTTTTGTTGCTCCCTCCTGGACTTCCAACAGCTCCATAATAAGCTCCTGAGTTATTTTCAGCTAATAGCTTGTCTTAATAATAAAATATTATGTTCTCTTGCTGTCTCCTCCTTTTGGGTATTCAAAGAGCTGGTGTTTATTTTATTCATTAATAAGGGTTATTTTATTATAAAAATAAATAAATCAGAGGAAAAAAATCCTATGATTTATATTACAAAAATCCTTTTTCTTTTTTTACTCTCATATGAATCAAATAGACTGCTTCTTACTCTATTATTTATTTTTAGTTTTTTGTGTTCGTACCTCTACATCCTGCATTTATTTTCCTTTTAAATTTCTTCATCTGATCATTTTATTTTTATAATTTTTCTCTTTCTCTTCTCTATTTTTTTTTTTTAACTTCATCTTCATGTTGTTTCTTTTTATTTTGCCAGTCATTGCAAGAAGACCTTTCTAAAAAGAAAAGGGAATTGGAAAGCCTGCAATCAAATGGAGGGCAGACAGAACAGTTACAAATGTTAATTACAAACATAAATAAGGTAGGATGGTGTGTGAATTATATCAATTAGTCTCTCGGTCTTTAATTTTATAATATAGAAGACAATTAGAAATAGCTATATTCAAAAGTATAAATGTTGTCTTAATACTATTATACATAACATATTTCATTTACATTACATCTAACATTCTCTTTAAATTATTTCAAACAGTCGTAAATTGTATGGTGGTATTTTAAATTATGCTATTTTCTAGGCTCAAGAAAATCTCTCTGAACACAAAGATTACCTCAGTAGTAAGATTAATTCATTGCAAAGGCTTTTAGCACAGCTTGAATGTGTAATGGCCTGGGTTAATGAAGTGAAAACGAGAGTCAATATAAGTAAAGAATTATCGCCTGCGGAGAGAACCAGAATTCTTGATAACATCATGGTAAATATTTTAAGGCCTACCTTTATTTTCTTTAATACAACTAAAATGTATCCATAAACACTACCATTAGTACTCGAAGAAAAAAACTATAAAAATTGTATGTCTGTATTTTTAATTAAAGCTCTTTATATTATGTTTTCTTGAAAATTTTACAAAATATTTAATTAAAAGTTATCTCTTTAAAATTTTTTTTAATACTTTTTATTCCATCCATGTTAACTTTAGTGTCTGACCAGATCGGCAGCACAATGAACAACTCAATGGGTTTATTTATTTATTTATTTGCATATTATGTAGGATTGGGTTTTTAGCAACATTGTTTGCAGTTTTTTCTAGTACCCTTCTGTTTGAAATCAGACATCTGTCTTCTATATATATTCTATTTGATTTATTTATTTTGACATTAATTTAATTGTTTTATCTGCATTTTTTTTTTTTACCGTTTACTTTTCAACTTTTTGATTTCATTTGTTCATACATGAAAAGTTTTCTCTTTATACTTCTTGAAAAGTTGATAGAATAGCCAGTTTAGAAACTGATAGTCTGATACATAAATAGTTCATAGAAATGAGGTTTAAAATCTTTAGATTTATAATAATCAGTGTACAACCATTATATAACTTATTCCTGTCGTCCTATAGAAGGATGGTGCGAGTAGTTGGCAGTCCTGCTGTCAACCCTTTCAGAAATGACTCTTATATAGACAAATTCTTGGTATTTTCTCACCTACCCTATGTCATAAGTTGAGTCCTTTTTCTAAATACTTTAATTCCAATCATATTTTATTTAGACAACATAATAATTATTCAAATACCTATTGCTCTGTTAGATTTTTTTAGAAGGGAAACTGATATTTGCTCAATTATTTTCTTTTTATAGAATTTATTTTCTTTAATGAAGTTAAATTTTTTTCCAGAAGTACGGCTTTATTTATTTATTTTGGTACATTTTTAGTCCTGTACAACAGCATAGATTAGACACCTTATTTTGATTTAAATTTTAAATATTGATATAAAGATTTTGTTTCTTCTGGAATTCGAACATACTCTTCAAAATTTCTGTTTAACAATATACCCGGAGGAGATCTGAGTCTTCTAAGATGTGTTCCATTGTATCTGTACATTTGTTTAGTTGTTCGTTTATTGAAGTTGTATAGCACCATATTTAGGAAACATGGTACATGCGTCTTACTCAGCTATGTCTCTCAGTTCATTACTCATTATGCCGAAGTGACCATAGACACACAGAAACTGATTTCTTATTTCTTTATTTATTTTTATTTGTTGTTGATGGTTTAGTAATACAATGTATTGTATTTCTAATTACTTCATTTATATATCTTAAAATGTTAAATACATTCTTAAAAATATCATATCTTATTGTGTATTTATTTCTACAGACTTGTATTTATGATCGTGAGGCTGAGGTGAAAGAGGTCAAAGAAAACTTCAACAATTTAGACAAAGAATGTAGAGGGGATATGCCTGCTGATTTGAGGGTAAAAATAATATAATTTAACTTAATATTATTTTTATATTGGAGTAAAAAAAAAAAACAACTAATTTTACTTACATGATTTTCAGGAGCAAATAAGAAAGCTCACTGAAAATTGGCAGTACTTGAAAAATCGTGGTGAACTAACTCCTTCAAAGATTCCAGTACTCCAGTCACCTATTATGAAACGTCAAGCCAGTCCATTGATTCGTAGAAGCCCGGCACTTAGCAAGAAATCTGAGTCCGAGTTGCTGACATCTTCACCATCGCTAACAGTCAAAGGTAAGCTGTATGCATTATTATAATTATCATTAGGCCAACTATATGATCGTATTTTTGCTTTTGATTGTTGGAAGTACTAAAATCAGTTTTCTTTCTGTTAATACATGTTAATTGCAATTAAAATTTACTTTTAACTTTACTTTAATAAATTCTCCTATTCGCTACTTTTTTTACTTTCACTTATCTATATATGATATATATATATATAGTAAAGGAAAGTATTGCGATCGTGAACATTTTTGAATCTCAGTTGTGAACTGAAATACACGTTTTGAGGTCCTTTAAGTCCAAATAACTAAGTCTGTGCATGTGTGTATGTTCGATGCGGGTATCAAGGTTCAAAAACATGAAAATTCCCTTAGAAACGTACTGTATGCTGCAATTCGAAGCACTAAAATGTACTTTTTTTGAGATAACATTCATACCCAGCCTAATTCTAGTGACAGTCTCTTAGGTGCTATGAAATATACATTTGTTAACATTTTAAGATCAATAAATAAAGAAAATTTGGATAATTTTTAAATAAAACAAATACAGATATTATATAAGTGCCTTATGCTCATTTGCCTTTTATGAAACTCATATGTATGTTTAATAAAATTCGTGTAAAACATATAAGCTCATGTAAGTTTGTAAAACTATTAAATTGTTGAAGTTTAAGTTTAGTATAATTGGGCATAAGTAGTCGAGCGAGTTAAGGCACCTGCATAAATTTTATATCAAGTGTTCAAATCCCATTCACGGAATTTAATAACAAAAAAAGAACAGTAACGTCCCCATCCATAAATTCACAGGGAAGTTAGTGACCCCTTTGTGTTGCACTAGCTCCATGTTGGGGGTTGGGTATGGGGCTTGTGATCATGTTCGGTTAGTAAACCATGTATCCTCTGGATATCTTGTAGAAGAGAACTACAGGACTATTGCTGTTGCCTATAACAGCTCCAAAAAAGCTGCTAGAAGACTCATGGCGAAAAGTCAAATTCAAAGAGAAGTAAGAAAAAGTTTAATATAATGAACATGAAATTCATGTGACTATGAATATAGAATTTCAAGATTTAATATAACCATTATAAGTCTCTGCTGGATATTTGCGTTTGGAATCCAATTTTAACTAACAAGTAATAACTTAAGTAATATATTGGTGAAATAAGTTCAAAAAGAGAAGAATATATATATATATATATATATATATATATATATATATATATATATATATATATATATATATATATATATACATATACATATATAAACATTTAGCTAATCTCAAAATACCTTAAAAAATATTATGTACAAAATTTATATGTATTCGGAGAATAATTGCAGTGCATTATATGCAAGGTTTATTTGAATTTAGAGCATCCATAAAAGATTTTGAAAGATATTAAAAGTTAGAAATATTGATTTATGATCCTAATTCATTAATATTCATTAACTAATGAATAGAGAGCTCATGTAGATAATTAAATATATTATTGATGAATAATACTCTACATCTAATAAATTTTATGAGGTCACATAGATAGATGAAAAGAAAAAAATCAGTAGTGAAGCCTTATTTACACTATGACATGGTACTATTGTAATAGTGGATTTATATGTCATGATTATTTTTATAAACAAAAGTCATTTGTAATTTAATTTCACTTCTCAGACAGTATTTCGTTAAAAATTAAAAAATATAATCATTTAATGAATATTAATTAGAATTGTATATGTGATATCTTATATTCAATTCGGTTAAAGTTTTTTTTGTTTTTTTTTTTCATTTTAAAAATAGGGATTTGATCTGTTCTATTATGTATAAAACAATGAATAACAATGGTAATTGAATGACTTATAATGAAATAACTTAATAATACAAAGTATAATAAACTGGTACTACCTATGTGAGAACTCTTACATTAAATATCTATTCTTTTTCTCCTTTACACATTCAAGGTATAAGTGATATTAGGGGAACATGTTTATTTATATGAAAAATATTGGTGAAGCTATATAATTTATAATGACTATCTTGAATTATAATGAGTTTACTTAATAAGTAATTAGCTTGTCCCGTTGGAAAATCTTTCAGTTTAACAGTTAAGTAATATACTTAACCTAACCCATTGTAGCATTTGATAGGACATATTGAATTTGTTCAGAAGAGAACTACAATCATTACGAGAGTAGAATACAGAAACCAGTCCTGAACTTCATCTTTATGATGATATTAACAACCAAGAAAACATTCTTTGTTAACGTTTTAATAGATTTTTAATTTAACTTAAACTATAATGGATAATAATATTTTAATGTTTTAAAACCTGAATGATATGGGATTAGTGTCCCATGGCAATTAAGTGACTGTTGCTAGAATTAGGGTGGATATGAATTCATCTATATTTTATTGATAATTTTATATCCTAATATTGCATGCGTATATTTTTGCTTATATATTCCAACTTGATCTACCCCTCTGTTAAAATTTAGGATTGGTACTCTATATTTTCTTTTTTATACATTTTAGTATCTTTTCCTTGATTGAATCTTTATTTGATTAACACTTTGCAGGCCTTTTCAACCTTAAAAAAAATGGTATATGAAACTATGGGTGATAAATATTCAGGACGCAGTCATTACAAAGTTTTTATAATACACTCGAATACACTGAGTACTTGAACATCTTCAGTGCTCAAAACATGCCCTAATGATGACCCACATATTTGGGTTGAAAAGTCGGCACTAATAAAAACTTTATAATGACTGAGTCCTGAATATTTATCACCCATGGTATGTAGAATAGTCGACTAACTTCCTCCGGTATACAAAATTAGTAAGGAGGTAAATTACGTTATTTAGATCACTGTGCAAGTTATGTTTTATAAAAATACTTTATAAGATAATCTCAACTCTAAAGCTTGCATATAAATTTATTTTATCATTTACAAATCCTGAATTTACGAATTGTCATTACTTTATAACAGTTCCTTTATTTTTTTATTTTTTTTTAGATTATTTATTTTAGTTAATTTGTAGACATTGCTGGTCCGTCATCTGTAAAATTTAATCATCTATACTATCAGTCTGTTTAAAAAAAAAAAAAGTTTGTGTTAGGTTGACCATTTAATGAAAAATGCTTTTATACTTTATAACGTTATGCTACAAACCTTAGGAACAAAGCTGTTAATTTGGAAAACTGTAGTTACACTAACACAACTTCCTGTAAATATTGTTTGCAGTCGCTGTAACTAAAATGTAGGGATTAACTTTTAAGCATATTAGAGTTAAATTAAGAAAAGACAACCATTACTTTAATTACAGTACTTTATGTAGAACGGTTTGCAGATAAAACCATGTACCATACTATTGCCGCAGAGATATAATAACTAAAAAGTATCGTTTATTCTGAAGTAGTGAAGTTTCTTTAAATAGTTTAAAGTATCACACTGAAGCAAATTTCTGTAATTTTATTTTTTTAGTTAATGTTTTTTTTTTTGTTTTTCCATATAAATTTTGGATGTTATACAATTCATCAGAGACATTTGGCCATGTACTCACTCATCGTGCTTATGAAATAGAGTGTAGAAAACATATTCTATGTGCATAATATCATGAGGAATTGCTAGTTTTTCTAAAATTTCCATATGGTAAAAGCACCAGTAGCCGACAGTGTACCAATGTTTCACATCCTTGTCTTAAAATAGGAATAACGAAATTTCAGAACATCCTATACCTCTATTTAAATATTTTTGGTTTCTATATTTCTCCTTGTAGATTTGCTTTAGTCTTTCCGAAAATCGTAACCACAATAGTGAGTAGCGAAGTAAAAAGGTCCCTCAAGGTCAATTTAGTGTCCCAAGAACAAAGATCTGTCAGTAACTTTGGTCTATCTCATTGTTTGTTCCTTGAAGGGTTTTTAAATTATGTTTTATCAGTTTTTAACTTCTTATCTTGATGAACTAATTGGAAATTTAATTAGTGTCAGTTCCTGGAGTCTTATAATGGGACCTTTTGCCAGTAGAACAGGCCTGTGCTCTCATAAATTCAAAGATATGTACTCAATATAATGGGAGTTAAAAATAATATCATTCACTATTATCTTGATAAAAAAAAAAATTCAAGCGATTTTGATTAAATATCAAGCTAAAATAGATTTTCCTATTGTCAAACAGGTCCTTGACAATTACCAGTACATATCGATAGATTTATTCACGAACAAAATGAAATTAGTTTTATAATAAGTTAATGATAATTTTTTTTATTATCTATTTTAAAATGAAGAATATAAAACGTCGATACTTCGTTCACATAATTACATCCTTGCACTAGCGGATCCAGGATTTAATTTTGGGGGGCTTCAGCCCGAAAGCTTTTTTTTTTCATAAAAATAACAATAATTACTTTGGAAAAACAGAAAGAAACTAACTACTTATATGAAATGGTGTTCAAGTGGTTCCTTAAGTCCTTTTAAATTTAATTACACGAACAGTAATACTTCAAGAGGTATTTTTAATTTTTTTTTCCATAAAACATGGTTATATTTTACCATTTGGGGAGGGGGGCTTAAGCCCGAAAGCCCCCCCCCACATAGATCCGCCCATGCATCCTTGTTCTCATCCCTGTCAGCTATGGGAACATTCCAAATCAAAAAGTGCAATAGGTGCAACAGAAATATTCTATAAATTTGTAATATTTTAAAAATTTAGGTGGATGTTTAATGAATTTGAAATATATCTTGGTAAGGTGAAAAGTAGTTCTATAAGATCAATCCAAAAACAAAAAAAAAAAAAAATACAATAACATCAATATTTAAGTTTTTACACTTAAAAGTTAAATAAAATTTCCTTAAGCATCAAGTACTGCTGCATTTACCCTATATGATATATGGAAAAACATAATCTATTGACCAGGGGCGATCTATGGGGGGAGGAAGAGCTTTGGGGCTGAAGCCTACCCCAAAAATGGTAAAATATAACCATGTTTTATGGAAAAAAAAATATCTCTTAAAGTATTATTGTTCGTGTAATTAACTTTAAAAGGACATTAGGAATACATTTTTTTTTTTCTTAAAGACATTTACAACTGTATTAAATAAATACATCTAGTAAATTAGAACATATTGTATATAATGCCATGAAAAACACTTGTTGAGCAACTACCCAATGGTAGCACTCTAATGATATGTTAACATTAGGAAATCACGGGGCCATCTTCTTTTTAGACGCCTCGGAGGGTTATCGGGAATTGAAGAGGAAGCAAGGTTAGAAACGAGAGGGTTGGGATGATTGTGAAGTTTATTATGGAAGGATAGGTATCTGGATTGGGCCAGATCTGAAACAAAAGGAACATTAAGGTCATTATGGATGGTTTTATTTGTAACAAAGTAGGGAGCATTGAGGATTTTACGAAGGATTTTGGATTGTAAGGATTGGATACGAGAGGAATTCGATGGTTTAGTGGAGCCCCATAGCTCAACTCCGTAAGTCCAAATAGGACTTATTATAGTCAAGTATATGAGTCTTTTGTAATTAATTGGAAGATTAGAGCGTTTGTCTAGTAAGTGCTGAAGTAATCGGAAACGTCGAGCGGTTTTTTGTCGTTTCAGTCTAGTATGAGGATTCCAAGTTAGTCGTTTGTCCAGGTGGAGTCCTAGGTATCGGATTTGCTCAACAGGAATAAGTGGAGTATTGTTAAAGGAAACTGTAGGAGAGGAAGTTGTTGGTTTACGAGGAATAACTTAAACACCATTTCATATAGGTTTTAATTTCATTTTTTTCAAACTAATTATCGTTATTTTTATGAAAAAAAAAAACTTTCGGACTGAAGTCCCCCCCCCCCCCCAAAAAAATAAAATCCTGGATTCGCTAGTGTTATTGACTAAAAGACTTAAAAAAAAATGCAATTTTTTTTTCATTAATAAGTAAATATTCACTGATTAATGTGCGAAATTAGTAATATTTTTCCATCCTTTGAAATAACACTTCTTAAAACTTTACTTCCTCTTACTTTCAAACATGATGCTCTAGGTCTGTAAATTAAAGAAGATCGAATCCTTGGGAATAATGTTTATAGTATGCTATCTATAAACGTAATTTACCAGTTCCTCAACGTTATTAATCCTAAGGTATTTTGTCAGATAATCTAAATATTTGCTAATTCAAATAAGAGAATTTCTGGTAGTACCACAGGGCTGTGGAGTGCATGCCTACCGTGCTAAATGGCTTGGGTTAGAGGAACCCTTGTGGGATGAGATGCTTAAAATTCTCCCCGTCAGCTTAAGCAGCTCTCACCAGCGTCTTGGGAATGTAAAGGTCCGTTTTAAAAGTGTTTCTACGTACCCTCGTCCGGCCGTCTTCCGTTCACTCGTATTGATAAACACTTGGGATCATTTTCACCTTTTGATAATAAAATTATAATGGAGGCATCAAATTATTTTTGGCTGTTTGTAACTGCTGCATTAAGATGCCTCCTATATATAACCATAAATTACGAAACACAGTATGGTTTATCAGCATTTTCGTTTCGTGAGTCGTAAATGAAGTTTGATTTTTTTTTATTTATGTTTGTTGGATTTTCTCCAACTTTATATTTGCCTTTTTAAGTTCCTGTCTCTGTAAAGAATTATTTTATTTATTTATTTTTTTTTAAGGAAGAAATGATATAAGCCGGTATTTATCTATAATTTTATTTATATTAGTTCAACCGTTTAGATAATTTGATCACAAAATCGCAAAAAAAAGGTGGCCTACAAAAACATTGGGCCGTTTGTCCTATATTTTGAAAATTTGGGATGCAGGTCACGCCAAAAGACTCAATATTTTTGAATTTATTTCCCAATTTTGTGATCAAATTATCTTACGATCCAAGTAGAAAGCAAATTGATATTTATGAGTTTTTAGTACCTAATTAAATAGACAAAGTTTGTCCCCCTCCAGATTGAAAACGACCCAAGAGTCTTCGTAAATAAAATAATTGTAGGTTACGATGAGATGGAACTATTTACGAAGTTTCAAGCGGATATTAATTATTCGATAAAAAGGGGCCTGTACCACGGACTACATTGTTTAGATCGACTTTTAAATAAAAATATTAAAAGTTCTGTAAAACATTTGCTCGAAAAGTTGATAACGAAAAAGTTCTAGTTCCAAAAGATCTGATAAACTATCGATAGTAATATTTTTGGTGGTACCGAAACTTTTAAAAAGTAAAAGTTTCCTTGATTTACCATCTATTATTATTATTATTATTATTAGTGGGCAAAGGAAATTGAGCAGGCCACGTCCGTCTGTTGTGCCAATAATGAATTATTATTTTACGCCTTATTATTATTAAATATATTATTATTCGTTTTTCATGTCTTTTTCTCTCTCTCCGTCTGTATTTTTACTTTTAAATAACCAATATTGTAAATATTTACTCTATTTATGACCACTTATACATGTATTCAGTACTTATAATTTGTTCTAAAGGGACAACAGTCCCAGAATAATAAAATATATTTTCATTTCATTTATTATTGATACGTTCGATTAACCATCAACGTTAACATAATCTTTGTGGCGAACTATATTTATTGTATTGTTGTCCTTGATATGAAATTGATATGATGGATTCATATCAAGATAGCACTTCACGTGTCAGTAAATAAAAGTCAATTGTTTTATGCTCTTGACTTTCTCCATTTAAAAAAAAAATTAATAATGCTTTATTAACAATTCCGGGTATTCGATGGCGCCTGGCGCCAAAAAAACAAAAAAAAAGTTTTAGATATCTCAAAGATGAAGTTTTTTCACTTAAACCACTTTCGGAACTAAATGTTCGATTTGAAAAATTCTTTTTGTGTCAGATTCCTGGGAATATTGATTTCCAGTTATTCTGTTTTTTTGTTTTCCATGCGGTCTCTTGCCTTCTGCGGAGGCTGCCTGATGAATGGCTCCGAACTACATGTTCCTCCTATCTTAACCTCCTTGCCTTCAAATTATGAGACATTGATTGACCAGTTTCTGTGAGCTGTTTTTTATTGGCCTTTTTCCTCCATGCATTAGTTCTCTGTTCCCAGATTGTTCTATTATATTATAATATTAGGCGATTATAATAGTTCGTGCTACAGACCCCTTTTTATCAAATAATTAAAATCCGCCTAAAATTTCGTAAATAGTTTAATATCATCGTAACCTCCTGATGTATTATTTACGAGAATTCTCGAATTTAGGACATTTTTAATCTGGAGATTGGCGAACTTTGTCTATTTGACAAGGTACTAAATACTCATGAATACACATTTTCTTTCAAATTGAATCCCAAGATAATTTGATCATAATATCGAAAAGAAATATGGCTTAAAAAAATATTGGATCGTTTGGCCTATATAACCTCGTTATTTTGAAATTTTGTCGGTGAGGGTCATGCCAAAAGAACCTATATTTTTGTAGACCACATTTTTTTTACATGTTGCCATCAAATTATCTTACGATTAAAATTGAATGAAAATGTGTGTTCATGAGTTTTTAGTACCTAATTACATTGATAAACCAATAGGACCCCAGTGCTATAAAACTTAATATTGCTCCTTAAGGAAATCAAAATATTTATTTATTTATTGTAATTGTAAATATACCTGTTAAGTTTCTTAAGTTTATAGGTTCCTCTTCAAATTGTAAATCTATTTGTTTATTTTTCTTCTCTTAATCATAATGTTTTTTTTAAATTTTTCTTCTTGTAATTTTTAATATTTAAATTGTACTTTTTAACTTTTTTTCTTTTAATATTAATTTTATTTTTTAAACCGTATTTTTAGATTATATTCCTGAAATCATTAACCTTTTATTTAAATGTCCTTGTTAACTGTTGACTCATTTTTTTTTAATATTTATTTTTAATGGTTCTTGTACTTTTCAACATTTAAATTGTACTTTTTAACTTTTCTTCTTTTAATATTAATTTTTATTATTTGAAAATGTATTTTTTAGCTTCTGTTCTTAAAATCATTAACCTTTATTTTTATTGTCTTTGTTAACTTATCTCCTCTTAATTCCAATTTTTATAACTTTAATTCAATTGTACTGTCCATATTCACCTGTAACTATTCTATTTTTTTTTAAACTTTAAACTGTATTTCTCAGCTGTAGTTTTGTTATGTGTGTAATAATTGATCAAGTTGCAATATAGTGCAAAAATTGTATAAATAATAAATAGACAAAGTTTGCTGTTCTGATGATTGAGAAAATGTTCCAATTCTAAGAATTTTCGTATACAAAAGGTTGTAGGTTAGGATGAGATGAAGAGACCTACATCCCAATTTTCAAAATAACGAGGTGATATAGGACAAATGGCACAATATATTTGTAGGCCACCTTTTTTATCTATTTTGTGATCAAATTACCTTACGATCCAAGTAGAAAGCAAATGTTTATTTGCTTACGAGTTTTTAGTGCCTAATTAAATAAACAAAGTTTGTCCCCCTCAAGATTGAAAACGCCCCCATTTCAAGAGTTTTCGTAAATAAAATAATTGTAGGTTACGATGAGATGAAACTATTTACGTAGTTTAAGGCGGATGTTAATAATTTGATAAAAAGTGGTCTGTACCACGGAATATTATTTACTCATACTTGAAAAACATAAGGCTCTACAATCTGATAATATCTTAACGGAATTATGTTGTTTAGTATCAAAATGGGAAGGAACCCGGTAGCAATAATAAAAGCGGCAGAGGGTTAAAGTTAGTAACTGCTGAAGATAATGGCGGGTAGCGAAAGAAAATAAAATTGAATTGTGTAGGGGGGGGGGGAGGCGATGGATGACTAGACTGGGGAGGGAAGATAAGGGAATTCTGGAAGTGACGAGTTTTGTACGCTTTGTTTTTCTTAGCGCTTCTTTAATCTCACAACAAACAATTTGATACTTCGCGTCTTCGGAGGTCCCTCTTTATATATAGCTCCCTCTACCTCTCTCTTATTGAATTATATTCCTTTAATCTTTTCTCCTTTTCATTTTCTTCATTTCATAGTATGACATAAAAAATATTTATTTGTTTCTTCTTTCTTGTTAGTGGTGTTATTTTCCCGCTTTATGGAAAATTTTTCGTATATAATTTATTTTAGCACATCCAGTCATTACTCAAAATTATACAATCTTGAATTATTAACATATTTGAAAATAATTTGATTAAAAAATGTTTCTATGAAGACCCATTTCTAAGCTTTCAACATTTTCCCCCAAAATATTTTAAAGACAATTTCTTAATATTTCTTAATAATATAAATAGGTCAATGCTATAACCAATGGCTATTAAAATAAATTAAAAAAGAGGTACTTTTGTTGAACACGGGCTGGCCACAAGCTGGCCCGATCAGACCAGATGGAGTTCCGGACATTCCCGAATACAGCCATGTCTGCCCGTAAATGACGAACTCATAATCATAATAACTTGTATTTATTTTCTTATTATTGAGGAAAATTACGAATAATAATATTAATTTAACTAGGAATTAAAAAATTAGCTTAAAGGTAATAGATGGTGTATATGTGGCGTGCGTGCATGTACTAGATTCAAGAGAATGGGGCTTTTCGTACTTAAGCACCGGGGTTACGTAAATAATTTTTTTTTTTACTGGATTATATTTGTTTCTGTGAATAATGCCAAATACTCAAACGATCAAAATGTGTATGTAGTATGTAAATCTGTTTTTAAATTATGTCTCATGTTCTTAAGATACTAAATTTAAGCTCACAACAAGAAAAATATATAAAAATTGTATCCTTTATAAGAATATTGTTTTAGGATTTAATTAACTTTACAAAAAAAAAAAAAAAAAAAAAAAAAAAAAAAAAAAAAAAAAAAAAAAAAAAAAAAAAAAAAAAAAAAAAAAAAAGCCCTCTAAAAATTGAATCATGACGATTTTACTACGTACTACTTTTTTTTTTTTTAATTTGTTTTGTTAATTTCAAAGTTTCAGAACTTAGATTCGGTCATTAACTCTTTTCCGAGTAAAACAATATTTATGTGGATATTTTATGTAATTATTTTTTAAAAAGTCTAGAAGTTTATTTATAAAATTGTTAATATTGTCAAACAATTGCCTTAGGATTCTCCTTTCTTCAAACATAAGGATATCTGAAAATATATGTTGTAGAGGCTCAACTGAAACTTACGACATTGTGAGCTCGCTCGGGGTGGGATGGGGTCTTGAATATACGATGCCTCCTGTTTACATGGCTGCTCTACCTTACAATAATAATACTTATAACAATATTTTTTATTTATTATTATTATTATTAGATTATGTTAATCTCAAAACCATTATTAAAATGAACTCTCGAAATTTTTATGGATTATTGTTTATTTTGTATTTTACGACAGTATAATAAAATAGATACAGCAATGACCTGAATTAAATGTATATATATTTGTATAT